GCTGCATTTGTCACCTTTATCCCGGGAATGGATGGCGATGCCTTTTCTCAGCCATTAAATCTTTGTTCAATACGGTTTTCCAACAGGTCGCCCTGTTGGAATATCGAAATCCCATATATGTGCATGTGTGCGTGTGTATACGTACAACATTTTAATAAGATTATGACTTGCATAATGGCGCTTCGTTTAATAATAGGGGAGACATTTATAGGCTATACATATATATATATATATATATATATATATATATATATGCAACTCAATAATTCATAAAAGCAACGATCAATCAGCAAAACGATGTATATCTTAAACACACGCGTGGCTTTTGCGATTTTCTTCTCTTTTCAATTCGTACTAATCGGTCGAATGTTGTTCGTTTGTCAATGTTTGCGCGGAACCGCAGTTTCATCAGCGCGACGAACTACGACTAACAGAATCCTTATTTGAATTCCATTTCTCGTCAAATCTATGTGTCAATAACGATCTAAATATCTCAGGTTGTCCTTCTTTGAACGACGTTCGCCGGGAATCCAAATTATCAAAAATTTCTTCAAAGTCTACATCTTCTGACCAACTTTAAAAAGACGCTTCCCGTAAACTTCAATGCTTCGAGCGAATTAATATCGACAAACTTTGCATCGCGGACGACACGAAACATTCGACGTATTTAATTACATTTTTTTTTTATCTAATCGAATAAATATCCATTGAAGGGTTTTTGAGATTTTTTCGTAAATGCAACTTTTTCCATTTAATACGGAAGTTTAACAATCTATATACTAAGCTCGGTAATCATGACTCATAATTTAAATTGTCTTACTTTTACCTACCACATATCGTGTCAGGTTGACATATACATTCTAAAATTCAATAATTCAAGCTATTAGAGGGGGCGGACAAAAACAAAAAAAAAAAAAAACAAAAAACAAAAACATTTTTTTCCTCAATTACTTCAATTCCCACGTCCACGAGATCCTCGATATAATGTTAATACTTTAGACTTTAACTAGACGCAAATATCACACTCTACACACTTACTTTCACACGAATAAGTCGCATAGGCATAAATTTATTTAAATGTCCATCCACGTTGCCTTAACCTTTCACTTCGGCATACAAGAGCTGGAAAATTTAAGACAAGTGTTGAAAATTGTTAGCTTTATCCTCTCAAATGTCCAAATTTATAAAGCATAAAAATTTCCAAAATTACGTAAGAGTTGCTGAAATCGAGTATAATTATATTACAAAATACAGCAATATGAACTGTTTATATTAATGATTATTCCCGTCCGATTTTATTAAAATTTCACTTACATTTTTCCCTTCCTTCTGTTTCTTTTTACCCATTTGCAAGATTATACAATGTGATCAGAGAAAAATATGTTTACGCATTCTTAACATCTAATCCCTGTAATCGTATAATAAACCCCTGTTTTTTTTTTATGTCTTTTTAGGTCTTAAATGTAAAAATACCTAATAAAATATGTTTTTAGTCAAGTAGAAGAAATGATAATTGAAAATATAACACATTGAAGCTCGAATCTCTAGTGTGCAAAGTGAAACGAGAAAGAAACCTGTAACTCGCAAACTGGTTTTTCTTTCAAACTGCATTTTAATATCGAATTTTGTAATCTTCACTGATCCAACGAATCACTAAGTCTAGAATATCGCGGCTATTTATATTTCTGTAATTTATACCGCATTTATGATATATTAATGATATGGTTGTAGATGAACGGCACCCAATACAAAAGATATAATCACCAAGTTGACGAGAGCTGCGTATTTGCTTTACAATATCATGTGCTCTTTATTGGTACATTTATATTGTATGTAATGTTTATGAAAAATTATTCGATAAATACGCATATAAATCTTACAACGTACACTCGTTCCTTAACGCATATCGATATAAAATAATTTTTTTACCACATTACAAACGGCTGTTTTATACGGAAGTTATGTCACATTCCGAATTTAACGTACACATGAGCATTAAAATACGTAATTGAACGTCATGGATGGAATATTTCAAAATCACCGATGAATTTTATTGGCTTTTGACGGAGAAAAAGTTAAGAAAGTCGTGTGATGACGATTCGTCTCATTGAAATTCGTGATTTTCATGTTAGAGTAATACAAACGTACAAATAATAAATGCGTAATTAATGTTGAATGCGAATAATAAGAATAAATTTCCAAATAAATTTTGACACTAAGGTCGCGAGAATAATAATAATAATAATAATAATAATAATAATGATTATTATTATTATTATTATTATTATTATTACTATCAATAACAATAATACTAATGATGATGATAATGATAATGATAATGATAATGATAATGATGATGATGATGATGATGATGATGATGACGACGACGACGACGATGACGACAATGATAACAATGCGGTGCGCGTAAATCTGTATACGCGCGCGCGCTCGCACGCACACACACTCATATATATATATATATATATATATATATACAGAGAGAGAGAGAGAGAGAGAGAGAGAGAGAGAGAGAGAGAGAGAAAGAGAGAGGCGCGTCCGCACACAAAATGAGTAAATATGTCATGAATTGTTGAAAAACGATAAAGGCGAATTCTTCTTTCATTGAGCACATCATTAAAATGAAACGTTCGATTACATTATTATTAACACGATGTGACGATCTACAAGTGTGTCGTGGTACTTTCATCCCAACATTCGGATCGCGCGATCTCCGTGTTGCTTCCTTCGACTCAATATTGTCACCTCTAAGCTATTTAAAATAATGAGCAGCAAACTGACGCAAAGAGAGTGAGAGAGAGAGAGTGAGTGAGTGAGTGAGTGAGTGAGTGAGTGAGTGAGTGAGTGAGTGAGTGAGTGAGTGAGTGAGTGAGTGAGTGAGTGAGTGAGTGAGTGAGTGAGTGAGTGAGTGAGTGAGTGAGTGAGTGAGTGAGTGAGTGAGTGAGTGAGTGAGTGAGTGAGTGAGTGAGTGAGTGAGTGAGTGAGTGAGTGAGTGAGTGAGTGAGTGAGTGAGTGAGTGAGTGAGTGAGTGAGTGAGTGAGTGAGTGAGTGAGTGAGTGAGTGAGTGAGTGAGTGAGTGAGTGAGTGAGTGAGTGAGTGAGTGAGTGAGTGAGTGAGTGAGTGAGTGAGTGAGTGAGTGAGTGAGTGAGTGAGTGAGTGAGTGAGTGAGTGAGTGAGTGAGTGAGTGAGTGAGTGAGTGAGTGAGTGAGTGAGTGAGTGAGTGAGTGAGTGAGTGAGTGAGTGAGTGAGTGAGTGAGTGAGTGAGTGAGTGAGTGAGTGAGTGAGTGAGTGAGTGAGTGAGTGAGTGAGTGAGTGAGTGAGTGAGTGAGTGAGTGAGTGAGTGAGTGAGTGAGTGAGTGAGTGAGTGAGTGAGTGAGAGAGTGAGAGAGTGAGAGAGTGAGAGAGTGTTGTAAGGCCAATCACCGAATGGACAAAATCTCACTGTCCTTGGATGTAGAAGAAGTTGCCATGGGCTTTTAGGTAGTGGTCGCCTCGAACATCGGAGAACGCAAAGTAGCACGACGCGAAATCACCGAGAGCCGCTATGCCGAGTATCGTCTCCTCGGCCCTGCCACTAAACTCCCCAATCTAATTGCAATGTAAATATTAGCTAGGCAGATCGTAGTTGGCAGCACCTGCGGAGAGATACGCATGGTGCCGCGCAAAGCAGGTACGTCCGTATACGGCGCACGAGCTTCAATGAAGGACCTAGTGGAGGAGGTAAGAAGCTGATGGCGGTGATGGGGCAACCCTCGGATGACTAGGGTGACCGGGGATGCTTAGAGGGCTTCGGGTAGTCACGCGGGGATCGCGGAACCAACGACGCCACTGATGCGGCCGTCGCCGATCGAGCTACACGTGAAGCAAGCCCAAGTAGCGCGATAAAGCGCGAAATAGGGAGGGAAGTACGGTGGGTAATGGGGAGGGGCGTAGGGGGTGGACGAGGAGAGCAATGAGAAGGCCGTAATCGGGGGTGACGTTGGGCTCGGATGGGCGGCTCTTTGCGCTCGGTGACGTTTGCGTTGGAAATCGGGATTGCCGATCGGCATGAGCTCGACGAGCCCCTTCACTTCAGGCTCGCGCCAATATACCTTGGAAGCAGTCGTCCCGCGCAGCTCCGCTCGAACTCCCCGGCTCTCGGTCGGCCTCCGCGACCTGTCGCCGCGGGGGCGGTCGGGGCGGCGAGCCAGACCACGCCACGGCACGCACGAGCACACGCGCGCGCGCGCGCGCGATATCACACACACGGGCACGGAGGAGCGGTGCGACGTCGCGGCCGACGTGCGAGCGGCGACTGACGGTGTGCGCGAGCGGCGAACGAGTCTCGGCTTCGGAGGCCCGCGACTCACGCGCCGGCGACCTCCGGCCGAGACCGAGCGCCCAGGAGGCGGCCAGCGCTCCCGTCGGCAAAGTAGGTACCCACGGACCCGCGAACGCTTATCCCTGTCGCGGGCCCCGGATCATTGACGGCGCTCGAGTAACGCGGCTCCTCCAAAGTGTCCTCGTTCTCGGAACTTCGAGGGGACACTAACGGGCTCGTCCTTCGCGACCTTTGCCCGTGTTAGCTTTGAGAGGATTGTCGTGGTGGCTTTGGGGGGGGGGGGGGGGGGAGAGCTTAGAGCGTAATTAGAGAGTAGATCGGAGGGGAGAGCCAAGAACGCCGCTGGCAATAAAGTCTCTAAAGTCGGATCGAAGGAAGCTGAGGGAACTCAAGTGCGATGAACGAGAGGATGCCGTTGAAACTTTAATAGAATTTGAATTTGAAGCGGCTGGAGGATAGTAAGGGACTGGGTAAGAGTTTGGTGACTCGGCTGATGGTGGGAATACCGTGTTTGACGAATTTTTTCCAAAACCTTCGGCTTCGTTAAAAATCGTTTACGTATTATGCAATGATGGGGTTGGGAGTTTGACGTGGGAGAGGGTGCCGCGTTCGACGTGGTAGCACGGGATAGTGGAATGGATTCTCCCGTGGTAGTCCATGGTAGTCTCTAAGCGTAGGTGCTCGTCGACGCCTTAAAAAGTTATTGTAATTGCCATGGGGTAGCTAGCTGCCTTGGGGTTGCGTCCGGGGCTAAGTATTCGTCGCTTTGGGACGGTCCGATCACGAGCGAGAAAGTAATTAACCAATCAATGAGCAAACGTTTTGGCGAGTGTGTTTCTTCTCAGTCTTTCATTACTTTTTAGCCTTTTTTTTTTTTTTTTTTTTGTATTCGACGGAGAAAAGGAAGGAGGTAAGCATTTTGGATGTACCGTGAGTTTATAAACTTATTTTGCATAACGACAACAACAACAATAATAATAATAAGAGGGAAGAAGATGAAGAAGAAGAAGAAGAAGAAGAAAATGAAGAAGAAGAAGAAGAAGGATAATAATGGATGTGAACGTATACGATAATAATGATGTAACGATGCGTAAGTAGGTATTACGGTGGAAAATGGTAATTAGCCGTAAGGTAAGGAGTTGTATAATATATTGGCTATTTTGGCGGGAATAATAATTATTGTTGGCAGTTTATCGGCAATGAATTACCAATGTTTATAAAAGCAGGTGTCTTTTGTACATTCTGCTGTCGATGGGGCAGGTAAGAAAGGCTTTTGCTCGAATACCGGTAATTTCGCTTCGATTGCGAATGAGATTTTCATGAGGGGAGGCTTTGTCGTTGGTGCTTGAAAATTTTGAAAGATTCTGTGAGAGAAGAGGAATTTTATTAATGCTCATCCAGTACATTTATTTTATCATTTATAATCTTATATTAAATTAACGTCAATAGGGATGAAATTATTGACGATCATTGACGATCATTTACAATATTAAATAACTTTACATGAAATGAAATTGCGCCTCCTTTAAACGAACTGCCAGTCATTAACGAAGTTCGTTAAGGAGCGTCGAAATATTCGTTGGGCGTTTGATGACAAATTTGCCTTAGTGTTACCTAAAGCTTACTTACCTCCTCGATTCAATTTACTTTGACCTGGATGTGATAAATGCGAGAGATCTTCGTCACTGCGACGCTAATGAGCGCCGCAGACGAATCCACTCGAACTGATAGTATGAAAAATTTCGTATAAATATATAGGGGATAAAATATTTATATCCGCGTAATCGTCATCGCTTTATCATTATCTTGTAAATAAATGTCATGTATGTGAAAGATGAAGAAGCTTTGGCCTTATCTGATTGATTATGTATAAATGTCGTTTTTGCCAAGGTAAGCGCAATAACAAAGTCACGATGCTTTACATACTATCTGCGTGACGAATTTTATAAATATTTTCTGTTTTAGAGCTCGTGTGAGTAAGCGACCGAGATTATTATGAAGCGATAATGAGCGGCTGAGAGCACACGGGAAATTACAATAGAACTTGATCAATTTCCGGTACGATTATATGATCTATGGCGTGGCACTCTGTTTATTACGTAATAACCTTCTCGGGATGACTTTAGCGATATCGTTAACGATCGGGATGCCTTGTCCGTTGCGGATTTCATGCGTTAGATAAGAATATCGAGCTGAAGCGAAACGAAAGTAAGATAGATGAAGAAAGTGAGAATCTCGATGCTTTATTACACTTTTTGATAAAATATTTGTAAATTCTTGGATATTCCATTGATGGCTGATTACACAAATTCTCCAATTGCAATTACAGGTTTGTTCGTTATTAATGTTGGAAATTTTTGTTAACATTGTTAAAGTACAATGTATGCTTAATTTACTTAACCCTCCTCGCTAATATCAAATTTGCAATAAATAAATTATCGCCCCTCTACTATCTCTCATATCTCCATAGGAAATAAAATTATTTATGGATAAGCGAATGAGTCGTATAATGCTTATGCATATCAAAAAAATATAAATAATATACAAAACCTCGTATCGCCTTCGGTGCTTTTTTTTTTTTTGAATTCAATGTGTAACCTGCCAGTTGCCAGCTAACTAGATTCTCAATTTATTATTTAATTAGCTGGATCCGCGACTCCAATGCTCTTGCGCTTTAAAAATTCAGTCAACAAAGACAAAGAAAAGCCAATGTGCAATTGTAAATGGAGGTTGGCCGGTATTTTCCACTCTTCCGGCAATTGTCTCGTGATTTAGAGCGACTCTTATGACTCGGACGTCCTACGATGGTGCTCGTGCCACGGTGTCTCTTAAAGGGAAACAGACGATTTTCCCATTCTACCAGAGTTGAAAAGTTGATTTAGGCCCCATTGCCAAATAGGTGTAATCGAGATCGATACCGAATCAACAATCCCCGAGGCAGGGACGCCACTCTCTTTATTTGCGAGCTGATGAAATGTACAATTCAAGACATTATCCAATATTATTGTAGGAAAGTCAATAAATAATTTTCCCTTGCATCTCTATTAAAAGTTTCTTCTTATTCGTATTTCGGCGTCAACTTTACCCACCCCGAATGGATGCGTGTATAGAAAAGAATTTTTCCTCAACGATAAAATCAGCTTATTATTACATGGCTCGATTATAGCTAAGTTTTACGAGATAATCAACCTTTGCATACTATAAAAACATTTAATTGAAATCAATTGTAAAAAGTTTAGGCAATTAATGTGGCAGCGAAGAGTAATTAAATGTGCAATTGTTAAAAAATAAAAAGGATAAAAGAATTTCGATTTAAAATGGGAACGTAACGATTTTCAACTTTATTGAATAGATTGAATAGAGATTCCTGGACATTGTGAAAATTTTTTTTTGTATAATTAAAAACAGCCCGTTGCTTCGTTCGAAAGAAAATTCACTTTATTCATTAATAATATAATATCTTTTTTTTTTCTTTTTTTTCTTTTTTCCTTTTTTTCTTTTTAAAATTACTTTCATTTCTAATACACACATTTTACATGTTATAATAGTGTAAGTAAATTCTTTGTACCGCTATTATTAGTGTCATTATTATGATCATCTGTATAGCGTTCGTCATTTAATTTTTGTTAATACGGAAAGTGCATACGCGTTCCAAGAAGTAATTTCGACGTTAATAACGAAGAAGGAAACAAATGAAATAACCGATTGATTACACAATGGATCTTAAGCTCTAATTGATATAATTAGTACAAATGTTTATAGATTATATAGTAATTGAAAAATGTACGTACAGCTGACGAATTTAGATAGAAAATTATTCTAAGTATCGTGCAGATAAAGAATTGTTTTGAATAATTTTTCAAATATGCAAAAAGAAGTTATTGTCAAGTTTAAAGAAGTCATTCGTATTGTAAAATTGTATTTTAACATTAACAGCTTAAATCAAAATTATAAAAAAAAAAAAAGAAAAAAAAAAGAAGTTTTAAATCTAAAATTCTGTACTGAATAAACGTGGAAATTTAATTGTCTACTAGAAACAAATATGAAGCCAAGGACATATCTTACTAACAAAAAAAAAAAAAAAAAAAAAAAAGACAAAGTAGCATATTAGTATCGTTTTACTTTGCGTTTTACTTTTCTCTCATTATAACTAAATAGTTTATATAAATTATAAAAAGAAAAGGAAGGAAAAGAAAATGCACCGCAAGTTGTTAATGATAATGGCAAGTGTGTAATGCGACAAACAAATAAGAATGATTGAGACGTTAAAAGAAATTATTGTCAATGTAGATGCAGTAAGAGATGAGTAAAATATTCGATGCGATCGGTTATTGAAAGTGTTTTTATTTACATCATTCTTATCATATATAAATAATCAAAATACTGATTGAATTTTTATTTTGATTTTATTGTTTTTTATTATAAGAAACTTATTTATATAAGAATTCGTCTATTACTAGAAATATTTGTTTATTTCTTCCGTACTTCCTTTGATAAAAATTGTATCCTAACGAAAACTTTGTTTACACATATGCAGTAAAATATTACTCCATCGCGTCTCTTCATCCAGAAGCACAGCGCAAGGAATAAATACATAATTAATAATAATTGATGCAGAGCACAATATTGTTTTATTAAAGAAGACCTTATTATCTCAATTATTATGCTAAATTAACAAAGGCGCCTCAACTACAAAGTTTCGACGTTATCGGGTAAGGTGCAATAAATTATAAAATAGGCTCGAAGAATTATCTCTTCATCTTTCACTTAAGTTTAGCAAGA